AACTGCTTATTCGGTATGTATGTACGCGTACATTTGAATTCTCGTTCATTTCAATGTCACCCAAATGCCTTTTGTACGTCAGTATTGCCTGCTAAGAGGATTAAAGAGAATGAGAAGCTGTCAATGTGTGTTTATAACAGAGAATAGGGGTTTAAGCATATTAATGCTACCTTAAGGGATAATAATTAGTATATAATTTGACATTTTACTAAACGAATAAGGGAATGTTGGTCAATCCAGTAGTCCCAGGCGTAGATTTGTAGGACGACTTTGGTACTAGTTGAGTAAATAAAAATATGGAGGCAGGTTAATGGGCAGTTATTAGGTAAAAGAAAAAGGCGGTCAATTGCAAGCTACGTAGGCCATTACTAAGATTTTGGACCTTTGAGATGGCTTCGCCAGAGCAGGTTGTCCTTAGTTAATATTCATCGAACCAATTTGGGCATCTTTCTTCTGGAGAATAGGAAACAAGCTAAGTTTATCTCTCGGAAGGCCAGGGTTCCAGTCCGTGTTCGATTAACATCTAAAATTAGTTAATTTAATTGCCGTCGCCCCTCGGCAGGGAATAAATTGTAGGGCTATTTCCATTTGTTGGCAAATCATCAAGACGCAAACCACACGTTTGAAGGAAGAGATCGGCCGCCTTATTTTGAATAGCCAACTTTTCCGGTAGATGTCGCTTTTGGAGCTCTATTTTTTTTTGTTTTGATATTTGACAAACAAAAACTAAATCAGTAATAAAAATGGAACGACACACGCTTCAAGAAAGTATTGAAATTATTAAAATTCACTATTTGAATGGTGAAAACTTGGCAGCGTCGGATTGTAAAACTAAAATATTTTTCGGTCATGAAGCGGCTTATCGATCCGCAATATAAAAATTGGCGAAAGAAATGGTGCAGCTGGGACAAGTAAGTGTTGTGAAGAACAACTTTGAATATCGCTGCTGTAGTCCAAAGTGTGGAAGGAAACCTAGGTTTGTCCATTCTTAGTCGCTCTTTGGAATTAGGGGCATTCCACAAACGTCGTAATTTTACCGTATTTTTCAAAAAAGACTTTGGTCTTGAGGCTTATAAAGTTCAGTTAACACAGGAACTCAGGCCAGCCGATCATCAACCACGAAGTGCCTTTGTTGATTCGGTCCTTGAAATTCACGAAGCTCATTCGGAACTTTATCGAAAAATCATTTTGTCTGATTTCCACCTCCAAGGCAACATCAATAAGCGTAAATGTCGTAACTGTGGCTCGGAAAACCCTAGATTTATTATTCGAGAATCTACTTACCTTTAACGTGCAACTGTTGGTGCGCTTTATGTTTCGGCGAGGTCATTGACCTTTGCTTTTTCGAAAAGCAGGAGGCTGGAGCAACAGTTGCGGTGAATGGTTTGCAGTGTCGTGGGATGATTAATGATTTTTTTATGTTGGAATTGGCGGTCGCCATAGCCGAGTCGTAAGCATTGCGTACTGCCATGGCTCGGGTTCAAATCACCGTGCGACCAACATCCAAAAGTTATAGAAAATTCAATTAAATAAAATATTATCAGGTGTACAACTTTGCTTCCGCCGTTTTCCGATAGGTGGCTGTACCGGCTGAGGCTGGTTGAAATACATAGATGATAACGCCTTTAAAGTGAGTGTGGACAGTGCCTAACGAATTGTCATCGCCGTTTTAGTGACAGTTGTTCTTGTTTTCGTATTATTCACGCTCGAAAATGTCCGTTTATGTACCAAATTCTCGCCATTTGCGGGAAGTTTTACTTTTCTGTTCCAATTCGAAAGAAAATGCAGCTGAAGCGCATCGAATGCTCTCAGAAACTTACGGTGATGAAAAGTGGGTTCGATACGATAATCCTAAACGCAAAAAATCATGGGGAAAGCCCGGACATGCTTCTTCGTCGAAGGCAAAACCGAATATTCATGGCGCCAAGGTTATGATTTGTATTTGGTGGGATCAGCTTGGTGTGATTTACTATGAGCTCTTAAAACCGGTTGAAACCATCACAGGAGATGGCTACCTAATGCAACTGATGCGCCTTAGTCGCGCGCTAAAAGAAAAGCGGCTACAATATCAAAAACGACATGACAAAGTCATCCTCCAACACGAGAATGCTCGGCCTCACGTCGCAAAAGTGCTCAAAAAGTACTTGGAAACGCTGAAATGGGAAGTCTTACCCCACCCGCCGTATTCCCCAGATGTCGCCCCTTCTGACTTCCACCTATTCCGTTCGATGGCAAACGGCCTTGCAGATCAACATTTTCAGTCCTTCGAAGAATTGGAAAAATGGAGTGCTTCATGGATAGCGTCAAAAGAGGACTCCTTTTTTTGAGCCGGGATCCGAAAATTGCCGGAAAGATGGGAGAAAGCTGTCGCTAGCGTGGGGTAATACTTTGAATAATATATCTGTAAGCATTTTTTCGCTATAAATCTTTTAATTTAGGAAAAAAAAAAAATGGCGGAAGTTGTACATCAGATAAGTTAAATTTTCTATTTGCGGACGCCCCTCGACAGGGAATGCCAACCCCTCCAAGTGTTTTTCTGACATGAAATAAAGGCTCCCCATAAAAAAAACAGCAGCCGTTCGGAGGCGGCTTAGTATAAACTGTAGGTCCCTTCATTCGTTGAAAATACCGCAAAACGCAAAACAAAAAATTGGAGGAGGAGCTCGGCCAAAAATCGCTTCAGTGATATATATATAACATACATTTAATTATAGCAAGACCGCTGCGCTACGTGCCACACAGCGAAAGTATTGGTTTTATAAGGGAAAGGTTTCCAGACCGTGTGATCTCTCGAAGAGGTGATCGCAATTGACCACCGAGATCTTGTGATTTAAAACCTTGTGATTTCTTCCTGGAACCACGTGAAAGATGAGGTCTACATCAACAGGCCAACGTCGATTCAAGACAACAAAGATGGAACTTGTAAAGCTATTGAGGATACCACCGATTTGGTGATGGAATGTTTCAAAAAAAGAATGCGTTCCTGATATTTATTTCCATTAATGACTTACCTTCTTCTTTAATTTGAAATAAACATCCCATCAATTATTTCTATATATTATATATATTATATATTTAGCAAAAAAAAACAACTGCTTTTCAGAGGGAAAAAATAAATAGAATATCCTTCAAATAAAATTTCGCACAAAGGCGAAATCACTAACGGTACACGTACCGTTTGAGCAATAGCGACAAAGCAATAAAAAAGAATTACCATAGTTAATCATTTTTATGGTTTCTACTTATGTATTTTAACCTTTAAATTACACAATCAAAGTGAATACATACAAACAAGCGATATATGGAAAGGAAAGGACACGTACACAGACAAAAGGAAGGAAGGAAAAGGTACCACATTTGCTTTGAATGGCTGGCAAAATGAATTTAACAATCGCACTCTGGACTAGAGAAGACAAAGGAGGCTTGAAGGAGCGTAAAGCGTAAATATTTGCCTGCTACTTGTTGTTGGATGCTGTTAAACTAATGCCTTTGGTACATATATTTGGATAAACAATTTATTAGCGACTAACAATAGCTCGTAAGCTGTAGCAAGTAGTCAAGGTCTGTGATTTACATGCCTTACGTATTTATTTCTCCCATTTTTTGTTCTTTCCTTTTTGATTTGGAAAGAGGATAAGTCAAGGTTAATACATTTAAAATAAGATTACGGTTATGTTAAGTCAAGCCGCTTATCTCGTGGTATATGCTCGTATATACATACATACATATTTATATGCAAGTGAAGCTATTTAGCGACAACAGAACGATTTTCTATGTAATCTGAATTACGTAACGGGTGAGCCAAGTAGAGGTACTTTTTCCAACACCCCTTTTTTTGACAGATCACATGTGAGTCGTGCCAAGCTATCATGTTATTTCCAGTATTTTTTTGGCATTTCATCATGGAGAGACTTACGCCTGTACAACGTTTATAAGGCGTTCAGCTTCAATACGAAAATTCATGTTCTCTACAGATCGGTCAACATAGTCGGTCAACTGAGCGTACTATTCTCAACACTATCACCCATCTTGGGACGCAGCATCCAGTATTGGATAATATTCCACCCTATAGACCACGTCCAGTACGCAGTGAAGAAAATATAGCGGCCGTAGCTGAGAATGTGCACGAAGGCCGTGGAGAGTAAATCGGGCGCCGACTACAGCAACTTGGACTGACGTATGGAACGACTTGGCGCATTTTACAGCGAGATCTTGAATTGAAAGCGTACAAAACACAGGCTTGAGCAGCAACTGAAGATGCTAAACCTTCTTACCAAACGATTTTTCTAGGCTCTATAGGCTCTTGAAAAGTTCCAAGAAGATTCGACCAAAATTCGAGCCAAATTTTCTTCAGCGGCGAGGCCCATTTCCGCCTCAATGGGTAAGTAAACAAGCAAAATTGCCGCATTTGTGACGTAGAGCAAGCTGAAGAGATTTAAGTGCTGTCGTGACATCCAGCAAAAACAAAAGTTTTGGTGTGGATTTGGAAGTCGGTAAAATCAGCGGTCCATATTTTTTCAAAAATGATGCAGTTTAGAAGGTAACCGTCATTGGCGACCGCTATCGCACCATGATAACCGACTTTTTGATACCTGAAATTGAAGCTCGAGATCGCGGCGACATTTGGTTTCACGTTTTGGGTCAGTCGATTGGCCATTCGAGTTTTTCTGTGTGGATATGTAAAGCCTTAAGTCTAATTGGACAATACCGCTGCGATTCAAGCCTTGGAACAAAACATCACGCGTCTCATGCGCCACTTACCAGTTGAAATGCTAGAATGAGTCAACGAAAATTGAACTCGACGGATGGGCCAAATACCTAAGAAAGTTCTATTGAATGATAATAAGCACCCGCCATTAAATTTGAAATTTATGTGATTTTCTAAAAAAAAAAGGTAGGGAGCCTCAAAATGGATCACCCTTTAATAGCTGTAGCCTTGTTTGTGATGACCAAAAGGGCCAAAAGCTCTATTTCTCATTTTCAACTAAGTTTAGACTCACCTTATGTAAACGATTTCATCGTCATTGGCCTGCCTACGCCAGCCTGGTGCCAAATTAGCATTAGTAACACTCGCAGCGCACGGTTGTGCTACGGTTGAGTTTGTTGTGGTTGCCGTGGTGCCAGCAGCTGCAGCACCAACGCTGCTTACATTGTGACCAACAGCAGCAGGAGCAGAAGCTGAGGAAGTGGTAGTGGCATTACTCAATGCAATATGTTGTCGTGAGGCGATTGTGGGTGGCGCCACCAACACATTATTGCTCACTTTCATTGGATGCTGTTGTGGCTGTGTTTGTGTTTGTTGTTGTTGGCCCTGCTGTAAGGCTACATTATTCTGTTGCTGTTGCTGTTGTTGTTGTTGATAAATATTCATTGTTTGGCCGCGTGTCGCATTGCTGCCGGCAGCAAATATGTGGCCACCATTTACCAAGCCAATTGGCAATGCGTTTGGCGCATTCTGTTGTTGGCGTTGCATATGTAAGTGTTGCTGTTGCTGTTGCTGTAGATGCTGCTGTTGCTCATGCAAGTGCTGCTGCTGTTGTTGTTGTGTCTGCTGTTGCTGCGCAAACATTTGCGTATTGGCAGCGGTGCGTGTGTTGAATTTTGTAGCACGCAATTGTTGTTGCTGCTGTTGCAACTGCAATTGTTGTTGTTGTTGTTGTTGTTGTTGTTGTTGTTGCTGTTGCTGTTGCTGCTGCTGTAGCAGCTGTTGTTGTTGTTGCCCATTTGTTAAATGTTGCAACTGCATTTGCATATGCTGCTGCATTTGTTGCTGTTGCTGCTGCTGTGCCGCCGCTTGCTGTTGCAATGTCAACGCATTGTGTTGCTGTTGCTGTTGTTGTTGTTGGTGTTTCATTGATTGCTGAAATGGTTGTCGCAGTGAAATCACATTTAAATCTTGCTGTTGGTGTTGCTGTTGTTGTTGTTGTTGTTGTTGTTGTGAGTGATGTATTTGTTGATGTTGCTGTTGCTGCTGCTGCTGCTGTTGCTGGTGCAATAGTTGTCCAGCACTAGCGGCAGCCATTCTAAAAGCACAATTTTACCGTTTAAGGAAATCGACACAAAGGGTTTTCTGCAAACAAATGGAAAACAAGAAAGAAAAGAGAAAAAAAATTAATTAATTTGTTGACTCTCTACGCCACCATACATTCGCTCGCACATCAATTAGCCAACAATAAAAGTTAACCCAACCTTTTTAACACATACTCGTATCACATCGCACTCACTTCCAAATTCAAAAATCCATTAATTTTTTGTGACCTTTCAATGAACTGTCAAAATCCGCCGAAGACGCGAGCACAAAATAGTTTCGCCTTTCAACGCCAACTACCTGCCACACATACACGCACGCAAACCAAAGCAAAAGAAGAGGCAAAATTAAACGAAAAAAAAGCAAACAGGCATCACTACGGTTTAGAGAAATAAACTCATACATATATCTACACGTACATAGATACATACATAGGTACATATGTATGTACTACGTATACAGCCTTTTGTGTGTTTTCCTTATATGTATTTTCCTCTATCTCTACCCTTCCCTATTAGCCTTCTAATCCATCGCAGGTAGGTTTTTTTCCTCCTAAGCTGGTTGATTGTATTTATTTGAGGCTTCCTTTGGCTTTCAAGTGTTGCGCAGTGATGACTAAATTTCGGATTATCTTCAATCAATATGGGATATTCCAAACATTTGTTCCGATACATTGATTTTGTGAAATTTCAATGACTCAGTGAAAAATTCCAAACAGTCCATGCTTGTGTAAGAGTGCTTGGCGCGAGTCGATGTACATATAAAAGGATGTTATTGTTCGCTTGTATGTATGTATGTATGTGGCGTTAAAGTCGCAATTTCACTTTTAAACTGTTTGGTTTTTAAAAAATGTGTGTGTTTTAAGCACTTTTGTACGTAGGTATGTAAATTAGGACACACAAGTGGTTGCCTTTCTTTTAATTCTAATATAAAAATATAATATGTACATATGTACACATTTGCCATTATCTACTGGCGACATATACGAGAGGTTAGATCATTTTTCTTTCAATTTCCTCGTGAAAATGCCTTAATTTTGTATACATAAATAGAAATTTTAGAAACATGTGTTTGGGCATAACAGTTTTCCTACACTACAACAACACACAATTTTACTGAATGCCTTTGTCAGAAATTAAAATGTATTTCGCAGCCACTTGAACCCGTCGTGTGTTTAGTATTTTCATTTTATTTTTGTATTTTGTATAACGGTCCACTTGTTGCCTTTCGAAAAATATAAAATAAATAAAAGAAAAAATTAGTAAAATAAAAAAAAAATAAAAATTGAAAAAATCAAAAAATAAATAAATAAAAATATTTGAAAATTAAGCAAACAAAATAAAAGAAAGTAGAATAAAAAGAAATGACATAAAATAAAATAAAGTGAAAACTAAAATAAAAATAAAAAAGTGAAATAAATTTAAAAAAAAACTATAATAAAATAAATTAAAATAAAACAAGTTAAAGCAAAAAAATACAATATATTTACATTAAATTAAATAAAATAAAAAATAAAACAAAATAAAAATAGTACAAAAAAAACATGTCATAAAAACTAAACAAAAATAAAAAAAATTAAAAATGTAAAAAATAAAATATATAAAAAAATAAATAAATAAAAACTAACAGAACGGAATAAAATGAAACAAAAAATTATATAAATTAAAATCACATAAATTAAAGCTAAAAAAATATATTTATATATTTTCAATTAATTATATTAAATAAAGAGTAAAACAAAAGAAAAATATCAATAATTAATAAGTAAAAAATTAAAGAAATAAAAATAAAATTAACATAACCCAAGCGTATTAAAAAAAAAAAAAAACAAATAAACATAATGAAATGGCGTAAAGTGAGAAAAATTAAAAAAAATGGTTTGCTAGGTACCGTTCCGATAATTTCGATGTCAAAGATGCACCAGCACTCATCCAGAAGAGGCCATCTTTGATCAATAGAGGCCGAATTGTGTTCCATCAGAACAACGCCAGGCCACACACGTATTTGGTGACTCGCCAGAAGCTCCGTGAGCTCCGATGGGATGTCCTAATGCACCCAACTTATAGTCCGGACCTTGCACCAAGTGATTACCATCTTTTCCTGTCCGTGGCGAACGCACTTAATGGTGAGAAGTTGGCCTCAAGAGAGAGGTCTCTGAAAATTGGCACTCCGAGTTTTTTACTAATAGGGGCGCAGCCTTCTATAAGTGGGGTATAATGAAGTTGGCAACTCGTTGACGACAAGTTTACGAAGAAAACATATGCATATTTGACTTAAATCAGACAAATGTGAGCAAAGTTATCATATTTTGAAAAATCAATAAAGAAAACCGAACGAACTTTCTACTTGCCCTAATATTTGCATTAAATTAGATTAAATAAAAAGCTAAAACAAAATAAAAATACCTAAAAGGGAACAAAAAAGGACAAGTTATATAAACTAAAATAAAATGAATTAAAATAAAATAAGTTAAAAAAAAATTAATAAAAATAAAAATTAAAAAAATAAATATATTATATATATAATACAAATAAATATATTATATATATAATGCAAAAATAAAACAAAATCCAAAAGTATATATATAAATATATATAAAAGCTAAACAAGCAAAAAAAATAAATTAAAAAGATAAATTAATTAAAACAAAACAAAAAAATTAATTAATTTCAATAAAAATGTATATATAAAAAAGTATATATAAAAAAATTCTAAATAACTTTAATAGAAAGAAAAATAAAATATAAACGAACAAATTTGAAAAAACTCTAATAAAATGAAAAACAAATAAATTAAGTAATAAAGGAAAAATAAAATAAAAATAAATAGATTTAATGATATTAAAAAAATAAAGCAAAATCAACAAATATATAAATCAGAATACACAAACAACTAAGCAAACACAAAGAAAAAATTTAAAAAAATAAGATTAAACAAAAAATTAAATTAAATAAAATAAATTTTATTAAAGCAACATAAAATAATGCATATTTGAACTAAGTTAAAATAGATGATAACAAAATATATAAGCAATAAAATCTTAAATTAAAAAACATACCAAAAATAAAGTTTTTAAATAATTTAAAAATAAACAAAAAAAATTCATAAAATAAAATTAAATGGAAAAATAAAGAAGTATAAAGAAAATAAATATAATATATTACATAAATGCCATTTGTATGAAAGGAAATATAATATGAAATTTAAATAAAATACCTAACTTAAATTTATTTAAAAATAAATAACAGAAAATATATATAATAAATATTTAAAATAAAATAAAACAAATACATAAAAAATAAAAAATATATAATGAGACATAAAATGAGAAAATAAATAAAATGTTAATAATAATGGTACAATAAAAGAAACTATGAAAATGTAAAATAAATTTTTTTATAATTTACTTTAATTTTATAAATTTAAATAATAAATAAATTAAGATGAGAGAAAATAATTTCAAGTCAAAGAATATAATAAAAATAAAAATAGGAAAATAGAATATTATACATATGTAAAGTAAATAAAATATAATGAAAAGAAATAAAACAAAAAGAAATAAATTAAAAATTTTCACATACATATATGTATGTATGCACATAATAACACTAATTTAGATATATAAATAAAAAGGTAAAACAAAAATAAAACTAAATAGTTTAAAAATTCATCTGTATTACCAAAAATATATATTTTTTAATAAATAGAAAAAAACTAAAAACAATTAGAAAAAAGAAAGCGAAATAGTAAAATAAAGTGGAATAAAATAAAATAAAAAAAATTAAATTTTGTATTGAATTAAATAAAAGATAATAAAATAAAACAAAACAATAGGTACATAAAATGGAAAACAACTAACCAAATTAAGATAAAAAGAAAAATTAAAACAAATTAAATTAGATAATAATAAAAATTAATGTAAAACAAATAATAATAAAAATAAGATAAAGCAAATAGTAACGGAAATAAATTAAACAAATAATTACATAAATTATAATACAATGTAATTAAATAAACATATTAACATAAAAAAGAAAGGTTTAAAAATAAAAAATACCAACACTCAATAAACAAAATTACATTAATCTAAAATAAATTTTAATTTTTTTCTTAATGTAGTTAAATGCATTTAAATAATATGAAATAAATTAAAACAAAATAATTTCAAGTAATAATTATAAAGTACACTAGCATTTAAAATTATAAATACAAAAAAGTTATAATTTAAGTAAAACACAAAATAATAAAAAATATACTACTTCTTATAATAAAAATAATAAATCGTTTCATTAACAAATTTATATTGAGTACCTACTAAAACTTTTTTAAAATTGAAAGTAATATCTCGCACACATTCAACCACTTAATTGGTATTATTGTTAATATTACACGATTTCGTCGCCCTAAAGCTTTACATCACAACTCTACACTCGTTCGGGTTACAAAACATGACAAAAGCTCATTTATTGAATTTAATTTAATTTAGTAGATATTCTCCGCCACTCACCTGTTTATGCAATATTTGTTTTGAATCAAAAGTCAAGCTCCTCATATTCCAACACAAAAGGCATATCGCAAACGAATTGCTTAGGGATGATGCAGCAACAACGATGGCAATATGATATCAGGCAGAGAGATTTACACAATTTTCATAAACGAACGCACACAACACATCTTTGTCATCGACGATCAATAAAAAATTTTGGATTGCAGAGAATTAAAACACGACAATGAATCTCGCACTTTTTTCACTCACATGCACACACACACGCGCGCACACACACTTATACTTGCACGCAGGTGGTGCACATGTAACTTTACACACACGAAGCTTTACAAGCTAAAAATCAATTTCAATATTTACATACATAAATGATTTCATAAATAATTTTATATTATTTTCATTATATCATTAAGCGTGTTAATAATTTATTATTGATTATAATTTACGATGAAAGAAACGATGTTGACAAGCACAAATTACACTTTGCTGTATTTGATTTAATTAAAAACGTACATATTTTTTCTTGTTGGCTAACGCACTGACACCGCCGGAGAAGAAGACGACAACGACGACGACAACGATACGGTGCAAACCGACAGATTCGAGAGTTAACGAAACGTAACGCGAGAGCCAAACTGATGAATATTACGATTGCCAAGTACGTGGAGAGCCACGAAACACGCGACAACAACGTTGCTAGTTGGGAGCTAGTGGGTTGTTGATAGTAGCAAACTCGACGACGTTCACCGCTCTAAGGGAGTCGTGGGGGGGCGGAGGGAGTCAGAACTACCCATTGACAATAGCAACAACACGCGCGAAAGTAGGTGAGTGGAGCACACACACCTAAAAATGCTGCGGCTATGGTGTCTTTGGCTTCGTAACTCACACCAGTGCCTATGTAGTATACTCTATGTGGATTTTCACGCTTTTACGCTTTTGACTTTGGGAGCTGCAAATACTCGGCCGCAAACTGGTTGGAGCACCACAATGTATTATATTTATTTCTATTGCTTATTCGTTTGTATGTACATGCATTCATACATATGTATGTTCTTCGTCGGTATGTTGGAATGAAATTGTTTAGCTTTTCGTTTATGCTATTTTATGTTGTGCTAATTGTATACACAAAATACCGTAATAGCTCGTAGTACACAACACGTTCAGATAATTTGTTGTAGTATATTCATTTAAATTTATTCGCAGTTGGGTGCATTGAAACTTTTGCGCACATCTGAGGGCTGCGGGGTATGCAGTATTTTTAAGGGCTATTGCACTGCACTTCGTGCTTGATAAGACAATTTTTACATATGTATATATAAAATTTTTTTTTTTTCAAATTCTCTCGTTTTCACTTTCAAAGCATAAACAAGTTTTAATGATAAATTATGAATTATGCATGATTATGTGTAGCTGCATATGCACATAATTTATTTAAGTTTATGACACTGATGAATAATTAAGTAACAGCGAAACACCTGCCCACTGCGGGGTGCACCACTATTTAGATGTATAGTGGGTATGTTTGTATGAATGTGCACACAAGGACGATACGATTGCAAGTGACGAAGCGGTTACATTTGCACGTATGTTCTGCTCTAATGACCAATGTAGCAGCTGTTTATGTTTTTCCTTATGTACTCTTTAGTTAGCGATGCATTTAGTTTTGTACATATATACATATGTGCATATGCATTGTACGTAAGCACACACTTTCTCCTTAAACATTGACACAAACACACACATACACTACCAATTCGGCAACACTTTGCTCTATGGCTGTATGACCCCAATAAGTTAATTTCATATTTTGGTATCTTCAAGATACGTTTTTTCGTTGTATTATATATTTGTACACACACCTTACGCCAGCAGAATATTTGCGCAATTTATTCACTCATACAATATTGCAAGATGCTTCACGTATCTTTTATTAATTGGAATTTTCACACTTTCCACATGTTTAATTACCTCAAATTAATAATTTCATTCACTTTCGCAAATGAATTTAAAATTTCTTCTCTTCGGAATCTCACACTTTTGTTGCTATAATATGCTTCTTCTTATTAATATTTTTCTTCTCTTTCCACTATTCCTCATTTCCCATTCGCATTCATATAAAGAAATTCACTCACTCTCATTCCCAATTTGATTATCATTAACACTTTAATTGGTTGAACAATTTACGTCGAAAGTGAATTTTTAATATTTTGATATTTTACACTTGCACTTTTTGCACAAATTAATTTTTTTTATTTTTGAAAATTTCCTACGCCATTAATTAGCACAATTTTCAAAGATTTTCGAAAAAGTTTACGCGTAACCGACGTGCGGACATGCACTCAGCACCGAATTCTTTACAATAGTGAGAACCAAACATTATCTCATATTCGTGGCTCGCTCGCTCGTTTATCATTCGTATGCTATCATCGTTTATTCGCTGCTCGGACAATCGGTTTTCGACTACGCGACATCTGTGGTGGAAGAAAAATCGAAGTTGGCAATTGGGAAATAAAGTGAGAGCAAAACAAAGGCCCAATAAACTGTGTGAAATTAAAATCAATTAAAAGAAAATTAAATTGATTTTTCTGGAAGTAAAAAGCAAACCGAAATACTTCAAAAAATGCGACTCACTTGGCTTTGACAAATGTAATTGTAGGAAAGTATAGTAAAAGTTTTTTTTTTTTTGGAAATAAATAATATGTGGTTTCCGAACCGTATTTTGGAAGGAAAATGAAATAATTTTCAATGCGCTCAGATTTTTTTAACGCTTGCATTACAATATAAAATTGATTATATTTAATTTAAAAATAAAGAAATTTTAATCAAAACTCAGAATCTGCTGCTGGAATAAAAAATTTGGCACTACTTTAATTTATACTGGCACCGTTCTAACGACTTGGCCGCACTTTCTCTACTGTCAAAAGCATCTGTTCGCATTTCGTAAATTGGCGCTTATAACGAATTTCTGATTGACGGCATAAAATATTGCTATTTGAGTGAACAAGTTTTCGGTTTCGTCGTTATAATAGGTTTTTCTCTCCCATAATGAAACAAAGTTTATAATAAACTAATCAAAAAGCGTAAAAAATCACATTCAAAATAGTGCCGGTAACTCAAACTAACCTCAATGTGCCGAGGCATCGAAATTTAAAGATCGCTAACAATTTAAAATATAAACCGCATTTATCCGCATTATTTAAAAATGTCCACAATCGTTGAGTGCAAAAAATTATGCTTGCGACGTTGCATGCTTGCTTTAGTGTACAGCATAGGTGTGCAATATTTGCTACTTGGTTTCTTCTTGTTCTTCATAAATTTCCAAGTGCTGCATCCTTTACGTTGGATTAGCGATACAATCAGTTTGCTATTTTCCTTCTATACTTGGTTCAGTATTATACCATTAATTGGAGCAGTTGTCTTGTACAGCATATTGCTGGGGAAATCTTTTCTTGCTGTTAAACGTTACTATCCAACACGCTTTCAGTGGTTAATATATACAGCACCGCGGAAGGTGTTATTCTTTATATTGCATTTACTAGTGGGCTATTTGACCACATGGTTGTATGCTAATTATTGGCATGTAGATTACCGGTTAGTATTTTTGTTTGAGAACTTAAATATTTAGTTTTTTTTATTAATTTTCTTACAGTAATATGATATTCATGTTTTCACTAATTTTCTTCTTCTTACAGCAATATGATATGTGATTGTTTTGGTACAAAGTGCATCAATAGTCGTTATTTATTCCTCACTTGCGTGGGACTATTTGCAGCTTGTCTACATTTCACAAAGGAAAACCTACGTACAGATCCCGAATTAGAATTTCCAATTATACAAGAACTGATGTTAGTTCGTATACGCTCCTTGCTCTACAGAACGCTCTATAATTCAATTTTACGTTCATTTACGCCAACAATTTGCTTTGGACTTGTCTATTGGCTGCTTGGCGGCATACTAAATCGTTATTTTGCAGGCATATTAGCGATAGATGTTGATGAGAGTACGCTAACGTTCTTTTCGATTGCCGCAAATGTTCGCCTCATATTTTATGCTTGGATTTTGGCAGCACAAATTTTAAGTAATATGCATCTAATGCAACATTTCTTCGCTATACACTTATCGGAGGAAGTCACATTCGTTATTGAACGGAAACCTGTTTTGTGTGGAGTGGGCGTTGAGGAAATTACTCTTGTAGATGCGCTTAGCTCTTCCTTAGTGCCAGTCGTACAAAATTTAGCAGCACATGATTTATATAACTTATCAAACAATAAAGGAGATCCAAGGCGCAAGGAGATCTTCGCACTATCAGTGCCAGGTAAAATTGAAATATTTCTTTGTCACCATGCTAAGTGAAAATAATTTATGTAATATACTTTTAGGCGCACATCCTTACAATTGGAATCAACTATCTGCTCAATGTCTAAGTCTTATTAATGCCTTTACCGAAGAATTGACAACAGCATTAAAAAAAATATCAACTGTAAAATCCACTCCTCTATTTGCCAGTATCAAGCCTACAACTGCCACTGAAGCTGCGGAAAAAATATTACTACGTCAGTACAATGAAACTTATGGCATAAGACGCATGATGACTGAACCCAGTATTGAAAATACAACTTCCACTAAACAAATGTCACCTGCATGCAAGCGTGTACATGAACAGGTGGAAAAGTTAAAGAAACAATTTGATCAGGCTTTGCGTACTACTTTCCGTACCATACCCGGTTTGTATTATATGTTTGGTGAACCTGAAGGTGCTAAAACTGCCTACTTGCTCTCCAACTCGGATACGATTTTATGGGTGGTGCAAGGTTTGGCGGGCATTTGTGCAGCCTCACTGACGGAGGATAAATATGGTGTAGTGCAAGTTACACTACCGCAGGTAATCAAATCACTGTTAACATTAAAAACAGAATTGGATAAATTGAACAATGTTAATTTGAATGGCAAAAAAATGGATCGGAATTTCATAACGCTTAAAAATGGCATTAAACGTAGCTTGTACAATATCTGTACAGTGTTTCGGGACTATTTGCGTGAATTGGTTGAGAGTACGGAAGATTTGCGTAAACTGCAATGCTATGTGCATTATGTAGAGACGTAAGATTCAATTTATAACATTATTAAATTTATTAATTTATTCATCTTTCGGACTGTTCGTAAATTAAGTTAAGTTAGACATTTAGAGTTTAATTCATGAATATATGAGCGTGTGTTTTTGAAGAAACTATACAATTATTTCACTCAAATCAAATAATTTCTAAGCCGTTGAATATATAAATTGAAATAAGTTAAGTTTGTATGTTTGTAAAATAAAATTTTGCTAAAACTCTCCAATAAAAACCATATAATGTCATTGAATGAATAAATTTCATACTTAGTTCATCATTTGATATGAAAATATTTGTATGTATTATATATTAGTTTATTTTAATTTATTTATATATATATAAATTAGTTTATTTTATTTTATTTATATATTTATATTGGTTTATTTACATTTATTTTCATTTGTTTCATTTTGTTTAATTTTTTTATTATTATATACAAATGTATAATTTTTTTTTTTTATAATTTGTATTTATATGTTCACCTGTACTTGCTGATCCTTTGTTGGCGCCGTAGCCTGTATATCTATCGATCGTGTGGCAACAACTGGCCTTAATAATTTACTTTCAAACTTCTCCGTATGTGGCGCTTTGATATCCTTACCTTTTATTCAATAGATACAGTTAAAATGAGGTATAATTATTGATTGACAATACGCACCCAAGGATTTGAGTGCTTTTCTAATTTCCTGTATATATTGTTCTTGTTGTTCAATAGTTTCTTCCATGTTTAGAATATTGTTTGTTAATTTTATTGCTGCTTTTAGCTTTTCTTCTCGCTTGCGACGCTCTGAACGCATTTGTCTAAGGTATTTTCAGAAGAGTATGGATATGAATATTTGCTATTGGAAAATAGAACTTTTTAGCATAACCAACCGTGAAACTTCTGATACCACCGCTGCGCCACAGATAAGAAATAATACAAATTCGCCCAACATACTGGCACCCAAATCGATGGCTGCTGCTTCTGACAATGGTTTGATATTTGTTGGTTTACCCATTTTCATTGTCCACATTTTGGTGCGCGTTTCCATTCTGTTGTACCCTTTGATGGTGTGTAATATACTTTTAACGGTACACTAGCAGATGATGATGATATTGATGTTTCATACTCACATTGCGCCGGTGGTATGCAAAAATAATTTCGAAATATAGCATTATCCTTTGCTTTTTGTTTAATAAAACTGGCTACATATTTACTTAGTTGGCGCACAGCTAGCATGCCCAGTTTAAAAACGGGCAGTGCTGGCATTTTGTTCAAAACGGAATGTTCAAGAGTTAATTGAATACGGACATATATTTATTTGTTAGCTTTATTTGAATAAATTTGAAAGAATTTAGAGTTGGAAATCGATTGTATTTCATTTCACTTGATCTAAAAAAAAGGTAAAATAAAAACTGAAAAAAGAAAAAAAAAACAAAAAACTAAAAAAAAAGAAAATAAAATAAAAAAGAAAAAAAACTAAAAAAAGCATAATAAAAACTAAAACAAAGAAAATAAATGAAAAAAAAATAAATAAATAAACAAAAACTAAAAAGAGTCATATAAAAACTAACAAAAATAGTAAAATAATAACTTGAAGAAAGTGAAATAAAAACTAAAACTAAGAAAAATAAATAAGAAAAAGTAAAATAAAAACTAAAAAAAGAAAATCAAAAAAAAATTTAAATAAAAGTAAAATAAAAACTAACAAAAGAAAAATAAAAATTAAAAAACATCAAAAATAAAAACTAAGAAGAAGTAAAATAAAAACTTAAAAAAAGTAAAATAAGAACTAAAAAAAAGTTAAACTAAAAGAAGGAAAAAAACTAAAAAGCAAAAAATAGAAAAAAAGTGAAATAAAAACTACAAAAAAGTAAAATAAAAACTAAAAAGAAAGTAAAAGGAAAACTAAAAAAAGTAAAAAAAAAACTAAAAAAAAAAAAAAAAAAAAATAAAACAAGTATAATAAAAACTAAAAAAAAAAAACTAAAAGAGAGCATAATAAAGACTAAAAAAAAATAAAATAACTAAAAAAAGAAAAATTAAAACTAAAAAGAAGTAAAATAAAAACTGAAAAAAAAAATAAATAAATATTAATTACTGCTAAACTTACGGTTAGTTGGTGCATTTCTTATTAGAATATTTAATTTAAACAACAAGCAATAATACAATGTCTTTAATCAAAATATTTATTCAAGTTTCAAGCAATAACACTTTACTTGTCCTACTAAATTAGCAATATTTACAACATTTTTCAAATCCAGAATGTACAACACATACCCATACGTGTACATAGGTACCGTAGTAAATGCGGCACCGCGTATGTGCTCGTCAACTAAAAATCACATTTTAAGCGAAAATGCAAATTAACATCTTAAAACAGTATAAAAAAAATACATGACTGCTACAAGTATGAGTCAGGAACGCAGTTTTTAAATAATATTAATGAAAAAAAACCTTAAGTTTGCATTGGATTAAATATCTCTTGTAGTCGCCTCGACAGCATACTCCAAATTGGCTAGTTTATTCTTTACTTGCAGTATTTCACGGTGTTCGGCTAGTCACTGGGCCTGCGTTTTTTTCAACTGTTGTTCTGTGGTAATAATTTTGTGATCTGTTTCAAGATTTGACTTGTCTACATGCACATATGGTTTGATGTCCAGTACATTGCTAATTGGTATAGACTTTGCCAACTGTTTGCTCTTACGACCATCAATAAATATACGCGTCTCCAGAAAATTTAATGCCTTGTATAGCATACCACCTGTTGGATCATAATCACCTTCGAAGTCTTTTTCCACTACATTGGTTTGATCGGGTTTATTCGGATTGAAGGGCTGGTATTCGGCTATGGTTTCACGAGTCCACTTGAATATATTTCGTGATTCTACATAGAAATTTATTTGAAATTAGTAGAGTTGTGTAATTTATACATTAGCTGATTAGTTAGTTAGTCTAAGCTTGCTTCATAACGGTTTGCGCGGTTTGCTTTGGCGCTGATGTGCCCAACGTAGAGGCAACAGCTGAAGTTGTATTTGCTGAAGACGCTTTATTGTCTGTTGTGTTGTTCAAAAGGGGTATACTGATTGGTTTTCCTGAGGGGAAATATATACATTTGTATACTTATAAATTATTTCATAAGTAAAAACAAAATTATTTGGGGAATTCTCGAAAATCACTTAGGAAACATGCAACAAGTAAAAATGCATCAATTCATAGGGTTTTAAGAAACATAGGAAAAACGCTTTTAATACTTTGAAAATTATATATATATATATATAGGTATACATTTGCACACAACACAGCACCATCAGCAAACACATTTTATCACAATGAAACTTACCTAAATCCGCAAGTGCGCGCGTCATTTCTCTGATTTGTGCATCCTGTCGTTCTAGCCGGAAACCCATTTCGGCTAGTGTCAATGCAAGTTCAGCTTTCTCTTGCCGCAGCGTCTCTTGTTTTTTCGCTTCATTATTGGATTGACTTTGGAGAAAAATATACATGACAATTTATTGCATTTAAATAGCAGTTTATGTATTCTAACCAACCGCGTGTATTCGAATATTAGCACGGCAGCTCCTATTATAAAAATAATAGATTCTCCGAGTAAATTGGCGCCCAATTCAATAGCCATAGCCTCATTAAGTGGTGGCACAGCGACCGGCTTACCAAGGTTCATGGCCCACATTTTCGTTTTGACTTCAACCCAGTTGTATACTGTAGAAAAAGAGCAGAAAAGATTGTATAGTTTCTAATTGCTGATGAGGATCTCGTTTCTAAATTCTACTATAAAAGAATAAACTTTGTTTAAAATGTTACGTTAAATTTTATATTTTTATAGCTCAATTACGCTTACAAGTTAAACGAGGTTTTTTCTTTCTTACACCATCTCAATGGTAGGACAACATTTCATTCATATTTCATGCTATACTTACACTGTGCCGGTGGCATACAAATATATTTCCGAAATATCGGACTCTGCTTAGCATTACTTTTGATAACGTTAGCTATTGGTTTGCTTATTTGTTTTATAGCCAAAACGCCTAATTTGGCAGCCGGGAAAGCGCCTATCGCCATCCTGTCCAAGTGTTTTTGCGAATTATGCTCCTGTTATGTGAATTTATTTCAGGAGTAGTTTGATGTACTTATGACGGCTGATTTACGTAAACAGCTGACTCCTTTGAGGATCTTATGAGTTGACAGTTTATTTAACCCGCCCATGCTCTTTGAACTGAAAAAAAATGTGTTGTAAGGTTGAATGAATTCTTAAGCAAAAAAGTTTGCGCTGCAAATATAATAAATTTTATTTATTATATTCACTTTGATGTTTATAAAACAGCATAACTAAAATTACTAACATATGTATTGCGTCATAAAATTAACGCAATATTGAAATGAAATATTTAAGTTCCTAAAATTCTTTCCAAACAATGCTTGATTATTCACAGTGTATTTACTGTCAATTATTAGCCACTATCGAGAAGTACATTCTTTGTTTACGAATCAGAGAGGAAAACACAAAGCAGTGTTGACAACTCCAAGTGCAATATTTTTTACTCATTTTTACCAAAAATTAAGCAAATTCGTATTTATTTTGCTGTTTTGGCGTATAACATAAATTTTAAAATAAAAAGATAACTAATTTTTATTGGTTTATTTATTTATCGGAAACGAAACTTTTAAAACCAAAAATAAATTTCTCCGCCCAACTAGCCAACAGCGAGTTGCAACACTGTTCTTTTACTCATTTCTTTCATTAGAAACGTCAACAATTTTCTTACTGTTCGGTCTAGTTTTACGCTGTAGGAATTTTCGCAATTAATATTTTACTATAAAAAGAAATTTTAAGTCATAAAAAATTAATACAACTACTAATTTAAGTTATAAAGTATCATCGCATGAAAAAATTTTTGGCAAAAAAGTGAAAAAATACCAGGAAAACGTGTGTGGAAAAAATTGTAATACGTAGAAGAAAGTCTTGAAGTGGTAAAAAAAGGAGAGAAAAAATGTGAAAATTTTTGCCAGCAATAAAAGTGGCAGTGAGCAAAGAAAATACAGCTAAAACGGAAAAGGCCAAGTTAATTTCAAATATTGTATGTGGTTGATGACGTGAAAAGGCACCTGTCGGATGTAAATATCTCCAAGAAAGTGGTTAAACAATGTTGCAACTAAATACATGTATTATGTAGGGCCAAAAATCAGTGGGTGTTCCATGAATGTTGGTCAACTGAGCATTACACTTGTAATAACCATAAAAACCGTATGCTAACTACAGTGAAGCGCCGCAAAGAAATAATGAAAACTAGTGAGAAAACGTTGAAATAGGAAATGCAAAATGTTTACGAAAAAATCACATGCGGATATAAAGAAGTCTACGGGCAAGTTCCAAGACTGTAAAAAGGATTCAGCATCACGCTTGCGTCATTTACGCACTATTTTAGGTAGGTGGTAAATAGATTTTTGATACTAAAAAATACTTTAAACTTATTCAATCTTGAAGTAGTTATTTCAGATATGCATATGTAGGTATGTATATGGTTAATCATTTATCTGCATTGACTTTGCGTGGGTATGCAGCACATGCTCTTGTTGAACATATATAGTCAAATGAATGAAAACCACTTTGTCTGCCTACGAGCTAGACTACCATTAATATATAATAATATTATTGTACCTATGCGACCACAACAACGTTGCGGTAATGGCATTGGTGATCATGGTCACAAACACAATTGCAACCACATATGTTTGTATGTACGTCAAACGTCAATTCTCAGTCAGTTGAAGGAAAAAACGCTTGTAGGGCTAATAATCTGTCTCGTGATTAACAATATTCCAACTTTTAACTTCTAGCTATTGTATTTACTTCCTGTTTTGCACTCTAGCGTCCAGCGTAGAGTCAACAATCAACTGTATGCCTCTTAGTCATTTGCACATGTGTATGAGGATTGAAAATCACAACCTAATAATAATTTATGCAAATTATATTATTACAGACATACCGAAATCAGTACATATGTATGTACGCAGATGCATACATATGTTCGTGGATAGTTTTAAATAAGTACGAAGAGACGCACTCAAAACCCATAAAAGAAGATAGATTTCGGACATTAGCAAATAGCCAGTCCAATGATTCCATTATTCCACAGACATACTCGCATGCAGATGATATAGAAATAAGTTAATATGTCTATTTAACAAAGCGCAGAACATATATGTATTTATACACGTTTTATGTATTTTTTTGTGTGCATACGTATGTATGTAAAAAGAAACCTGTGCGCCTTTTGCGACGCACCGGCTAACATGCATTAGCCAACATGGCTAAACGCTGACTATTCGCTGCGTCTAATATTCTAGTTGCGTGCAAATGTGTTGTGAGTGTCGCTGGAATCATCCATCGCCCTTGGTTACTCGCCGTTGGTCGACAACAAAAGCCAACACTACAAACATACATATATATAGACATGAATATATGTGTATATATGTGAGTGTGTATGTGTGTTTTTTTTTATAAACTTGATTTTCTTTTACTTAGTTTTCCATGTGGCAGCTGTTCATGTTTTCGCCATCGAAAGTTGCTGACTATCGTTGCGTTGCCCTGTCTTTCGCCATACCGTTTACTAGTTTGCGCATTCTTTTCACGCTTTCGGTGGCTATATTTCTTCATATTTATGATATTATTGTGATTTCTTTGCTAGAATTTGTTACGCTGCGATTGTGTTGCTTCTACGGCTGTGGTATATCGTATGCATACATACATACATAACCATATATTGCATATTGGTTTTAATGTTGGGACGATACACCAATTCCATTAAGTTAACTGTTACCAGGGTTTTATGACTATCAGCTAGGTGAATCGTGCTCATTTTTCTTGTTCGCGCTGCGCATTGACAAATACCTTAGTACGTAGTTATGTAGGTATGTATAAGGGGATTAACAAAAGTTCGGTAAGTTGACCACAAAAAAAAATTCTTTTTGTATTTATTCGTAATCTTTGTCCTTTTTTAACTTTTTTACGTCATCGAAATTGGTTTCAAGGCATTTCTTAAGTCTGTAGATCCACTTCTGTAGAGAATCTTCGAAATCTGGCTTTTTAAGGTTATTAAGTTCAGCATTAACCGCATTTATTATCTCCTCCTTGATATTTAAGAACTTTCCTTTTAAAATTTATTTGCATCTTTCGAAATCACCAGAAATCGCAAGATGCTATATCCGTGAAATATGGTGCTGAACGTAATTCTTCGATCCCAGAGAACGCAATGTCATGATTGAAAAAGTAGCGCCAAATTTCCCCTTCTTCCTGTTTTCCAACAAATTTTTTAAAATTTTTGGTAAGCATTCTTCGGCGTACCATTTTGCAGTTAGCGTCTGACCATTTTAGAGTAGAACGGCAGCTACGATTATAGATCGGTTGAAGTAAACTAATTTCATTACTTTTGTTGCTTAGATTTTACGGGTGGGCTTACTCCTTTTGAGCTCCATATCATGCACTGCTGCTTGGCTTCTGGATCATACTTATAGAACCAAGATTCATCACCAGTAACTACATTACTAAAAGTGCTAGACTGATTATTTTCGAATTTGTTTAAGAAAAATTGAGCAAAACGCACTCGGGTCTCTTTTTGGGCCTCGTTTGAAATTCGTGGCATCTCTCGAGCAGATTTCTTCGTGTATCCTTGAAGAGTCTTCGTCAATTTTGGACTTCACCAGAGCTATAGTGAGTGACGTCCTCATTGGAAGATTTTGTTCGACCTTCTCGGGGATCGTCCTCTACGGAAAATTGTCCGGTCAGGAATTTTCCGAACCACTTAGAAGTAGTCTTTAAAGACGGTGCAATTGTTCCATATGTAACTTGGCATTCACTGAATATTTGTATGGGGTGTAAATTACGCCGAAACCTAAAGAGAACCACATGACGAAATTTCGTTTTTCGGCGTTGGTGGTAGAATTTCATCTGACCTATCCTCAGCTATCTTGCGTTTTCTCAGCTTCATCATAGCCGATCGTTCTAAGGTATAAAAGGAAGACTAATAAAGTGATTGCAAAGGATTTGGTCTTTTAAGATATAACAAAAACAAATTGAAAGTAACCAACTGACCGAACTTTTGTTAATCCCCTCGTATGTATGTATGCATATAAAAAAGGTATATTAATTGTGTTTACCATTTTATCTATGCACGTTTTTCTACCATGAAAGTTCTCACTGTGATTGCACAATAACAACAAAAACAACAAGATTGGGGGTAAATAAAACCTTAACAGGTTTTCATGTTGAACTTCTGCTCCAATTGTTTGGTGATTACATGTTTTGAAGTTCTTCAAAAAAAAAAGAAGAAATTAAACATTGCTATGTATATATGTACATACATACCTTTGTATATATGTATGTATGTGCACTAGACAAATTACAACCTTCAAAACGCTGTGAACCGAAATATCTACTTCCAATGCCTTCAAATTGGCTTAATTCCATGTGGAGCGGTAGCAATTTCATTGATATTTCGAAACGGCAATTCGCTCTGGCGCAAATTCACCTATCAGCGTTTATTTAGCATGCTTTAACGAAGCGTAAATAAATACTTAAACGTTTAAAACTTGCTTCCTTCCCTCGTCAAACCACCGACGAGAAATTCATAAAATTCCAATTAATATTCAATAATGACTCACCAAAGGCGTTTTTTATTGCATCTTTTACTTTAACTTTCATCTTCGTTTTTTTTAGCGCATATCGCACTGTTTTTTGTTTGTTTTGGTGATGACGCACCTGTAGCACACCTCTAATTTAATTAGACAAATCATAGCATTAATCTCAATGGTGGAATTATTTTAAGATATGAAAGATGAGCTTACGGTAAATACTGTCATCGCTTCGATCATCCTTTAGTTTCAACCATACATATCGCTTTTCGTACTGTCAAATGGTTATTGAACGTGGCAAGGCCATTAGTTAAAATATAGTTAATATACATGAGTACATACATACGAGGGGATTAACAAAAGTTCGGTTAAATTGTGACTTTCAATCTGTTTTTGTTAAATCTTAAAAGACCAAATCCTTTGCAATCACTTTATAATTCTTCCTTTCATACTTCAGAACGTTCGGCTAAAATGAAGCTGAGAAAACGCAAGATAGCTGAGGACAAGTCAAATGAAATTCCCCCACCAACGCAAACAGAAATTCGTCAAGTGATTCTCTTCGGGTTTCGGCGTAATTTACAGCCCATACAAATATTCAGTGAATGTCAAATTGCATATGGAACAATTGCACACTATTTAAAGACTACTTCTAAGTGGTTACGAAGATTTCAGCCCGGACAATTTTCCGTAGAGGACGAGCCCCGAGAAGGTCGAATAAAATCTTCCGCTGATGACGACACTGTAGTTTTAGTGAAGTCCAAAAATGACGAAGACCGACAATTGATACACAAAACGATTGCGAATGAAGTGAGCTTGAATGCCAGGGCTGTATGGCAACTATAAAGTATTCATCTGGGATACACGAAGAAATCTGCTCGATGGGTGCCACGAACTTTAAATGAGGCCCAAAAAGAGGCTCGAATGCGTTTTTGCTCAATTTTTGCTAAACAAATTCGAAAATGGTCAGTCTAGCAACGTAAGTAAAGTTGTTACTGGTGATGGATCTTGGTTCTACAAGTACGATTCACAAACCAACAGCAGTTCATGGTATGGAGTCCAAAAGTAGCAAATCAACACACAAAATTCAAGCAACAAAAATCAGCAGCAAAAGTAATGATGTCAGTTTACTTCATCCAAACTAAAATCGTAGCTGCTATTCCACGGGAAAAGGCTCAGACGGTAGCTGCGAAATAGTACGCCGAAGAGTGCTTACCAAAAGTTCTCAAAAAGTTTTCGGGAAACAGGAAGAAAGAGGATTTGGGGCGCTACTTTTTACATCATGACAACGCGCCATCCCACACTGCTGAAATAACGAATAATTTTAATGCGACCTCTGTATCGAAGAAATACGTCCAGCAGCATATTCCCTTGTGTGATTTGTGGATTTTTTTTCGAAAAAAGAATGAAAAATTTAAAAGAAACGGTCTTTAATAGCGACGGAAGATAATTAATGCGGTTAATGCTGAACTTGAAAAGCTTAAAAAACCAGATTTTGAAGACTGTTTTCAGAAGTGGATCTATAGGCTTAAGAAATGCATTGAATTCAATGTCGATTATGTAGAGAATACAAGAAGAGACAAAGATTACGAATAAATATAAAAATTATTTGTTTCTTTTTTCTCTGGTCAACTTACCGAACTTTTGTTAATCCCCTCATGCATACATATGTACCTGTCCATATGAGAAAAAATCATGATTTCTTAAAGGTTTAAAAATTTACTTAAATAAGGCATATGACATATTGTGATAATATTATGTAATATAGTATATTTTATTGGTGTCAGTAAAAATTAAT